TAGAGTACTAAAGCTTGTTTATCTCAAATTTACTGAGGCTTTTGGCACTGTCTCCCATAGCGTCCTCATGAAGTACAGGCTAGGTAAGTGTTCAGTGAGTTGGACTGAAAACTGGCTGAACTGCTTAGGCTTACACAGTTGTGCATAAAATCCAGCCAGAGGCCGATAAATAGTGTCCCAGAGTCAATGGTCCAAAAATTGTCCCAGACTCAATGATTCAAAAATTGTCCCATATCTTTATTACTGACCTGGATGATGGGACAGAGTGTACCCTCACCAATGCTGCAGGCAGTACGAAATTGGAAGGAGTGGCTGATATACCAGAGGGTTATGCTGCCATTCAGAGGGAATACAACGAATTTGAGAAATGGGTAAACAGAAACTTCATGAGATTTGACAAGCTAGAATTCGAAGTCCTGCACCTGGGGAAGAACAATCCCAGGAACCAGCACAGGTTGGGGGCTGACAGCTGGAAAGCAGCTTTGTAGGAAAGGACCTGAGGGTACTGGAGAACAAGCTGACTGTGAGCCAGCAATGTGCTCTCATGGCAAAAAAAGGCCGAGAGCCTCCTGGGCTGCATTAGGCACAGCATTTCCAGCAGATCGGGAGAGGTGATCCTTCACCTTTGCTCAGCTCTGGTGAGACACAGATACACCAGGGGTGACGTGTCCAGTTCTGTCTCCCATGTCTCCCAGTGCAGGAGACATGGACATACTCCAATGAGTCCAGTGTATAAATGGACACGGATGTAGACATGCTGGAGTGAGTTCAGTGAAGTCCAACAAGGTATTTAAAGGATCTGACATACAAGCAGGGGCCGAGAGAGCTGGTGCTGTTCAGTCTGGAGAAAGCTTAGACGGATCTTATAAATGTATATAAATCCCTGATGGGGGGAATGTGGGGGGGTGTGGGAGACTCTTCTCAGTGGTGTCCAGTGACAGGACAAGAGCCAGTGGGCACTAACTGAAACACAAGGAATTCCATCTAAATATGAGAAAATATTTTTCTACTGTTTGAATATTGAGCACTGGCACAGGTTGACCAGAGGTTGTGGAGCCTCCATTCTTGGAAGTATTCAAAATCCAGCTAGACACAATACTGCTCTAGCTGACTCTGCTTTGAGGAAGGGGTTTAGATGAGATGATATCCAGACAGAGAGGCCTTTCAACCTCAACCATTATGTGACTCTGAAGCACATGAAAGTGAAATAATAGCACACTAAACAAACTGAACTAAAGGCATAAGCTCTCTTGTAGATTTTCAAACTCCTAATTTTGGCCTAACAAAATAACTGGGAAAACAGAACCAAGGGACACACATATTAGATAACCTCAGTGTACTTGGAAGCTGGCATACTGGACTGAAGTTTTTGTAGCTAGGCCAAATGAAATGATGAAGGGGATAAAGGAGAGTACTGAAGTAAACTACAGCACTGCACAAGGGCAACCAAGGAGTTTAGACTGAACTGTGAAGTTTTTGCTCATATTAATATAGATTTATTATACCATGAGTGTACCTGAAGCACCCTTCAGGTCACAAGTCATTCCTCAGCATTGTCTGTGCAACAAACTCACATTGTCATTTAACAGTCGTTTGAGTTGCTTTTCACTTCTTTTCTTTGGCACAAGGTGTATATATACTGACAGTACTTCAGTGCTGCAGTTACCCCTGGTCCAAGTTTAGCTCTAGTAAGTATACTGCCTCATCACAAACCTTTCTGCATTGCTGGTTCCCCAACCCCACATGCAGAAGGGGAAATGCTTCCTGAAAGAGATCTTAAAAGACTAAGAGATGGATGTGCCACTGCAAGAGAGCCTGCCTTGACAGAGCTACTTAAGGGCAGAACAGTGGGACAGATATTGTGGAGCCCTCTCACTAGCCACCTGACCTGACATGCAGCTTCACTGTAGAAGAGACAGGCTCAAGCCTGAGCTCAAACACAGCTGTGATTTTAACCCAAGAGTCTGACTGTGCAAACAACTTGAACTTCTAAATCCAAGTACACATATTCTTGTTAGTCCTTCATAGATTCAGAGGCACTGGAGAAAACTGAATGTAGAAGTGGACATTAAGACTGCAACACAAACAAATGTGAGTGGTAAGGAGTGTATAAGGATGAAACACAAAAGATTGCCTTCAGATACATTTTGTTTGGCGGTCTGCAGTGTATTGTTTTGACAAGACTGTTACACAGGAACTCAAGGTTTCTTCTTGTTTTCTTGCATCTTCCTCAGCAGTGGTTAACATAATACAGCTAATCAGGCTGTACATTGGTGCCAGAATTTACCCTGAAGTTGCAAAGGTAGTTAAAAACAGATATTGAAAAGCAGAGCACATTCTATTTCTGGTTGACTGCTGGTGTCAGATGACCACTGCTGTTAAAGGAACATGCATATATAAATGACAAAAAAGGTGTTCGAGGAAAATGAGCAAATGCTTTATGATCAAAGAGAACAAAAGTTAGTGAAGATGATAACTGTAGTGAAAGGTTTCTGGAAGCAGATACTACCTTAGTGTTTCATCTACGTCGTGTTTCACTAAACTTTGCTTGGGCTTTAGAGAGAGCTACGAACCACACAGAAACCACAGTGGTCTTCAAGACGTGAGAGGTTTCCAGGTATGCACAGACAGCCAAGGGTTTACCCAGTAGATCACTGGGACAGCAGCTTTATCATTTCCCCATCCCGTCTCTGTTTCACTCACCTCTCAACAAGATATTTCCTGTTACTTGCCCCTTTGCACTCTTGCTCCTCTCAAATTGTGACATCATTCATCTTCCGTGGAGACACTTCTCCCTAACTTAAATTTCTGGCAGCCAGTTTAACTCACTGTTGTTGAACCAACTTAAAGGGGACTACAAGACCTCAAGCCATATAGGTATCTTATCCTGCATAAAACATTTTAAATTCAGAATTGAAAATAAACAGAATCCTTCCATAAGAGGTATTCCATTAGGATTAGCCCCAGTTCAAATCTTTTTACTGAAGTAATAAAAAGACAAATCAAATATGCAGTGCCTCTGCAACTGTGCCCCAAATTATAGACTTCAAAATGAAATTGAGTCCTGTTCTGAAACATTCTTCCATTTCTTGGAAGTTCAAAGGAAGTTTATATAGAATGGGACATCACCAGCTTCATTAGAATCCATTTTAAAGTCAATGTCCACTATTTTTTCCCAAATCAACCTTTTACAACTTTGTTTAGATACATCCTCAGAGTATCAAGACAATGAAGTATTCCTACAAAAGGCGATGTTCTTAAGTTAACTGCAGAGAGACAGAGCAGGGGAGCAATTCCAGAAGGGCAAGGCAGTGGCATGCGGGAAAAGTCCAAGACTGGATAAACAAAGTACAGCACCTGATCCATGTCTTGAAACTGAGACAAATGTCTTTTTCATCACAATACACTCTTCCTCAGAAAAGGGCAATGGCATCAACAGAGCTGATTTTGTCACAGAGAAAATGTGCAGAATTAAGTCTCCTATCAATAACTCACAGCCCCACCAATGGAGCCTCAAGTTGTGTTTTAAAAAAATGCCCCCCCTTCTGGCCAATAAAGACTCCCAAAAGTGGCTTTGCAAGATATTTTGGGCTAATTTTAAAATGCGGTTTAGTTTATAAAAGTTAATTAGACTTGTTTTAAGACATAAACGCTCAGTCAAAGCACAGAACTTCCACTGAATTTCAAAATATTGCTACACTTATTTAAAAAAGTGAAGGTTTTCCTTTGCTTATGCAATGCTATATTCTGGGCTAAATATATCTATCCATCAATTTCTTAAGATAATAAGAAAGTTGTAACAACTCTGAGTGTTATTTTGTGTCACAGGACCAGGCTTCCCATGAGCGTTCAGATGTGCAAGGGCTTACTTCGTGAGGAGTGGTGCCAACTCAGGCCACTGAAAGTGATGAAGTGACATCTGTGCCATGCTCAGCCATGCCAGGGGAATTGCTGTTAGCCCCAGACCAGGATGCTTTAGGTGGACTAAAGCACTAACCTGACTAACTGTCAGGTTGGTAGTTCATAAAGGTGATCAGTTCACAGATAGCAGTGATGTAATGACGCCAATGCCTCCATTTATAGCTTGGAAGGAAGGCTACCGAAGGGAGAGTAATTGTTGGAATACAAATATTTTAATGACAGCTTTTTAAGTGACTTTTCAAAATAAATCTCATGAACAATCCAGATACTCATTTATATGCCATCTGGATAACAGCATTCAGCAAGAGGACAAGAAGTCAAAAAATGACAAGCAAGCTTCTGTACAAGTCAGGTCCTTTCAATCTGCAAGGACACATAATTGAGGAAGGTAAACTCTGGGTTTTCTCCTCTCTTTCTGGATAAGATTTTTTTTAGTTTAATTCCTATATCTTTTTCCTGATGTTGAAATCATAAATTACAATATATAAAGTTATTTTTTTTTCTCCTAAGTAGTTACTCTTAACTGATACAGTACTAAGGACAAGATAGAAAATGCCTCTACAAGCAATGTCACAGTTTAGTGCAGCCTCAATGAAAATTCATGGAAGAAATAACCTAAGCAACACTGAAATACACTGCTTACATGTGCTGTTCAGGTATTTTGTATCAATAGTTTTCTGCCTTTTGAAAAGGAGTACTAGCAAATAGCAGAAATATTACTTTTTTTTTGTTTTGGTTTTTTGTTTGGGTTTTTTTTTGTTTTTTTAAAAAAAGCATAATTCTGTGCTACAAAATTTGGTACCAGTGAACAAGTTATTTCTGGGCTTTGTCCTCAGCATCAACATATTGAGAAGTAGATGACTTAAATTGCTTAAATGGCAAATCTTAGGTTTAAATCAAAACAATGGCTACTTTTGTTAATTCAACATATCTTCAGAGCCAGCCAGTAGTCTGATGCATGCTCCTTAGCACATCTGCATTGTTAATATTAGCATATCCTGTGGATTTCTGCCTTTTAATTGCTATAACTCTTCTACGTGAAAAATTAAGTAACAAAAAGTATGAATGTTTCTAAATACCTGATTAATTGTCTGTTGCTGCAGCTTTTTTCCAGACTCTGAAAGAGAAAGAAAAGAATTAGTTTGTACATATTTTAATGAAGATGATATTGGACATGTCACTATCAATATACATGGCACAGAACAATAAACAGTGAATTAATCAAAAAAATAATCAAACCTTATAATTAAGAAACAGAATTTAACATGTAGAAATTACTTGAAACTTCAAAATGGAAATCTACCTAAAACAAAAGAAACACAAGCCCCTCTTAATCAAGATGTGATAAAAAGATAATTGATATAGGGTAGCCAATCTTGCTAAGCTGGAACCACAAAGAAATCACAAAATTTAAAGGGGAGGCAACAAATTTCAAATATGTGCTATGGAGCATCTTAATATAGTGAGAGTGTACTATGTGCTGGAGAAACTGGTAACATCCAGCGCAAGATCTGACCACTGGAGGAGGAAAGCAACTTCTGCCATTACCTTAAAATAAAATTACGTGTCTGTGTCAAGACTGAGATTCGGCACCAGCTGGCTCAAGTGAGAAATTCTATCCTGATAATATCACAAAGCGGCAAGTTGAGTGATGGTTTTGTTTCCTTATTCTGGCCTTCTTCTGCAGCATCCTTCAGTGTGCTCCTGGAGATATAATCAGAGCCTGGACAATGCACTGCTTTCTACAGCTGTCTGGGACCCTGGCAGCAAGGACACCTAAAAACTATTCTTTTCTTTTCGACCAATTTTGTCTCATTTACTGCTCCCATGCACTAGATGTCAAAAGGGCAGCTGGTATCAATTACCCTCCCTTTGCTATTGGAGACCATCCACACGTATTGGGGAAAGTCAGGAATTTCACACTTGCCTATCCAGCTAGGCTACGTGCACCCTGAGGGTTTTTAAAAATAATAATGATAGGAGACACGACTTACAACCTGTCAGTACCACTACTAACTGTCAGGGGAGACTGCCTAGCATGGGTGGTTGCCACCTCCAGCACTGGAAATGATACTCCCTTTCAACAGAACTTTTCCATACTAATACGTGTGGCACAAACAGAATTTTTAAAATGAGGTGTAAATATATAAAGTGTTAAAATACAGTATAAAGACTCTATTTAAAGGAAAATTATCTTCCCTACTCATCCCTGAGACTACTACTCTTTTCAATGAAAGCATTATAGATAATTCAGATAAAGATAATTACTTTAGGCTATATTATAAGATTGTCTCTTATGATAATTACTTCCTGCATGCTTGTGTTGTGTTTTTATTTGCTAAATATAAAAATTATCCTTTTTTTTTAGCTAAAAACCCTCTACACAATTATCATTTAGGGGAGATTTCTTAAAATGTATTCCCTTGTTCACTGAGTTCATCTTTGGGAGAAATAAGATTTATTCTTGTAACTAATATTTTAACCAAATACATTGTTGGTAATAGAAGATTAAAGGAGTATGTGTTTTTAGCATTCTCTAATGATATACAAGTTGCTAGGAAAGCAGAGTGTTTGAAATCTCTGGTTAGATCAACACTATTTTGCTCAAAGGTTTGTGGACTTTGAATACTGATGCTTTCCTGTTTCCCAGTACATTTGTTTTTAGGCTATTTTGATTCACTTTAAAGGAATTTTAATAACTTTCTGTTGACAGCATGGACAGCTGGTCTTGAGAATTAGTGAAAATTCACTTGCTGACTGAGGAAGGAAGTGACATCAATGAGTTTCTAAAGTCAGCCCCCAGGGAAAAGTGTGCTCCACGAGAGTAGCCTTTCATGCCATTGTATTTCCAGTGATGCCTTGAGATGCAAATTGCATTATCAATCAAACTTATGGTTTCTACCTCAGACAAATATAAAAAAAGAACACAAAGACTGTGAAAGACCTTTGCAGCCATTCCTGACACTGCTAAGAAAAAGGTGAAGAGGAATTTATGATAGTTCTTTCCTTGTTCTCTCTTCTTTTGTTGATTTAAATGTAAGTATCAAGGAAAGGGCAGTTGCAGAAGTGTCTGTATGATACGACAGCAATGGTAACATGGGTTAAACAGGACAGAGATTTACTAGGCTGTTAAGGGTAGAAGAGAGATCAAATTCAAGGTCACCAGCAAATTGAATACTGTGTTCTCCATTTATTCGCTAGATGATCCTTGTCCTCATCACAGAATAACCATGTGAATTTGGCATAGTCAGCACTTGTACTCAGAAGGGACCAAGGTCTGTAATAACAGACATGCTGCAAATTAGGGTGGAAATATATTGGCACCATTATATAGGGAAGCCTGCAAAGTCCTGGCCTGTACTGTACTATTGTTTTGAAGAAACATCACGAAAAGCAGTGAAAAAACAAGAACAATATCTACAGTGCTGAAGGGGAATCAGTTTCCAGCTGCCAGTGACTAACAGTAGGGCAGAAAGCCATTGAAACTAGGCAGAATTTTGTTTGTCTTGTTTTGTTTCGGGTTTTGTTTGGGTTTTTTTTGGGTTTTTGTTTGTTTGCTTTTTAAATCCCCAGAATTCTCCTACAATGACTCTGGCCCTCTCAATTTCGAGAAGGATGTTTCTGTCTAGGTGCTGTGTGATCACTTGTGGTGACCATGGACATTCACCAGAGGGATTAAAGAAACTCCACTGAAAAAAGTGCTCCAAATTCAAAGGACATGAGGCAATGGGACACTGATGAAACGAGAATTGTCAGAACATGTCAGCCAGTCCTACAGGCAACACCTGTGTCAGTCTCATGAAATGCAGGTAATACTTCACACTTGCAAGAAGCTTCATTTCTGGCAGATGTACATATCCTAAATTTAAAATTTATGACAGTTTTTCCTGAGCCACTGCAATGAGGTAGCAGCTTATGCAAGAACATCAAACAAACCAGGAAATTTACTGCCATCTGAAAACTTACTTGGAAGCTGCCCAGTAGATAGCTGGTGTAGTCAAGAACATACCTTCCACAACTCAGACTGCTTGTGAATGGCTTGCTCTTCTGCTATATTTCTTCTGAAACTCACTTTTCTACCTGTCCTCTGGCAAACTGTTCCTAAATGGGCTCAATAGTACCACCTGACCAGCCTTAAAAGCACAAGCAAATCAAAAGGCCTTAATTATAGTCAACTACAATTGCTGCAACTTTGTGATTCAGAAGTTGTATTTACTAGTATAAACTACGATTCTTATTTGCTGAGGCTGTGCTTTCGTGCTATGCTAACTGAGGCTAAACTGCTGCAACTGGATTCCAATGATATTTTTGCATCAGTACTGGAAAACATACCTCTCCCAATTAATTTTTACTGATTTTTTTTTTTTTGTCTGCTTGCAAAAAGTGTAATGGATGGTTGACTGGTTGAGATAAATGGCCTTCTTGGGTTGACCTCAACCTATATCACTTAAAAAAAATTACAACAAACATTGTTTAAAAAATTTCTCTGTATTTTCATTCCCTAATTAATATATTAATTCCTGTTGCCAGGGTTTTTCAATAATTTTTTTTTGTTGCTTGTCCTTATTATAAGATCATCTTACTGAGAGAAATAACATATGTTTTCTAATGTAACTGACAACTGCAAGAAATGAGAGTGTGCCTTAATTGCTGCTGTCACCAGGAATGGCAACACTGACTCCTCAGCCTTATGCACACAACCTACACAGAGAACAACATGTAATTATGCACACTGTGCCCTGCTTACCTCCATACAAAGGAATGTGATATTTGTGCAGGTTTACAGATTAATCTGCTGTAATTCCCTTTAATGTTAAACTACTTCCAGCTCAAATATAATTAAGATCACCAGGTACAAAAGACTCAGATTGGAAATATGAGTACACTCCAACAGAACAAATAACAGCTTGATGCTGTTTCTTATGTTCAAACAGTTGGATACATTAAGGATTTTGACAGCATGTTTGTTCTCTAAGTATGTAGATGAAAAAACAAAGGTTTCATTTCAAAAGGCAAAACACTACTAACCGTATTTAATTAGAGAGCAAAATCCCTTAAATATACAGATCTGCCAATTTATGTGACATGACTGCTACAAGATCTAGCAACGAAGGATTTTAATTTTTTTTCCTTCCAAAAATCAAATCCCAATTTATACTTCAAGAAATGTCAATAAAATAAAGGCTTTAGAATAAAAAGTTTGCTTCCTTAAGTCTTCAGATAATTCTACTCCTATTTGTGGCATGGCAGCAAGGCAGGGGATGAACAGAAGTTTTGGGTCTGTCTCCCTGTTCTCAAGTATCTGAGGGTTTCCAAGCAGGCTGAGAAAAGTGTGGAGATCTCAGAGGGCAAAGGGGGCCCTCAGCCTTGCTCTGAAACAGTAACATGCATAGTCTGACACGGATATCACTTAACTTCAAGTGGGAATGGTATTACTAAGAAATCAGTTGTGAAGAGGGAATTTTATGTTCTAATACCAATTTAATTTTGTTTTTCCACTTTGTGAGACAAACACGCACTAACAGCTTTGTATTTTACTTTATGTTTATAGACTTAAATAAACACATATGCAACCTATTCAATTATGATCCACCCCACTTTCCTTACTGGTGTCCTAATCAACCAGAGCGGATTTTGAGAAGTAAAGGGAAACCAAAGCACTCATTTGTGATAAACTTATGCAGCACTATCCCATGGCACCCGAGCCTGAGGAAGAAACACTCAGAATTGTTTTTCAGACTTATAACAGACACGGTGTGACACCAACAGATTATCTCCTGAAACTTGGCATACAAAGATTAAAATATTTAGGACAGAACCATATATTTCCTATAAATTATTGGCAGAATCTCAGAGGTCTGTAAGCAACAGAGCTGTTGTAGATCTGCACAGCATCTCCTTCTTCTTCTAACAAGGAATTCAGTAAACTGAAAGTGCTCATTTATAGCATTGCCTTCAAAACCTAGTTTAGCTTACTTTTGTACCTCTGTGATAATTATGCAACTGAATATGCTTACAGTGGCCTAAAATATATTAATCACATATTCTTGGTATTGCATAATCCTTCTCAGTTGTCACAATGCCAACTCATAAGTTGCCCTGGCAGTAGGAAACATA